TACGAAATGTTTCTATATATTCATTCAATAATATCTGAGTAATCACTGTGTGCCAGGCAGTTAATAAGAGACACTCAGCTTACTCTCAGAGACCCACCGAAGAGTCTACAGTGAGGTAAGTTTGGGAAATTGCAGCTATGGCAGTCTCTGGAAATTCATAATGGACACTGTCATATAGAAGTCTCTGAAAAGCCTCACCATTAAAAAACACAAAAAATCTTGTTGTATTTAATATTACTGCCCAAACTAATTTGGCCGCAGAATCCCTCCCCTGCTTTTGTTCTGGCAAAATCTATTAATATCCCATGCAGCTAGAGCTCTGTGGAAGACTTTTGGGAAATGCTATGGAAGAGCAATTCAAATGCCGAGAAAGAAATGCTCAACCTGGGAGAGAAAAATATATTTCTATATATTTGAGATCTGAGTTGAGTCCCTGTCTGGGAAAAGAACAGCTGAAAAGAGTGTGGGGTTTTGGTGGTGTGGGCAGGGAAACATTTCAAAGGTTCCAATCCTTTAAGTGGTCTTCCTCAGACCTTAAGGAACAGACCAGAGAGTAGTAGGAAAAGTGACTTTTAAGTTTTTCAGACTTTCTTTTCCTAAGCCTCACTGCAAGTCTGTCCCCAGCAAGATGATGCGGATACTATTGATGGGAAACTCTAAGCTGGCTCCACCTTCTTCTACAACTCCCCTTTATCTCAGAATTTTGAGGGAAAGAAGCTCAGATAGTTGTCTCCCTTCTGTGAAGTGCAAGCCCTGGTTATACTGGCAGAAATCAAGTAATTTTGGTTACTACTGAGTTCAGTCCTGTTGAGTTTGCATTATGGTTGCAACAATAATATCCCAAACTGCTAATACTCAATCCTGGAGTTAAATTTTACATTAAGGCAACAAAGTCAGAGAATATAATTTTGATTGCATACTTAAAATGTATTACTGTAGTGGTATTTTAAATTGTATGAGCTTCGAATGTTACAAAGCTCACTCTATAATGTGAAAGAATGGTGCTGCTCCAGTGAATTCACCCTTGCGGTCCTTGTATGGACACTGTGATAGGAACCCCTAGAGGCATGCATTGTCCAAAGGCTTGAAAAAAATGCATTTTTCTCATATGTTTGAAATATTTCCTAACAGGCAAAACCAAAAGTATTCCATTGAGCCTAAATGAAGTTATTGAGTACGTGCCAGAACTATTCCAAAGCGTGTGTGCAGTGCAGAATTGGCAGCATCCTGTGTAATGTGAGAGCCTCGAAAGCTACCAATGAAAACAGACAAACTTGGGAAGCCCAATCTTCCCTGAGAACCTAACAGCACAGGGCTTCCTCGCCAATCTTGCTGTCGCATACTATTTTCTGCCCAACTATTAAGACAGCTGAGTTTCCCAGTGTCAGCTCTCATATACATATTTTATGGTAAAATTAGTTGGTGTGGTAAAATGATCCAAAGAATCAGAGAAGTTTGTTTCATATTTTTTGGCCTTCCTATAGTGTACAGAATTTTTATAAAACATTTTTATGGCTTTACTTGGAAGAAATTTCTATTGTTTTCACAATCTAAGAAGCAGTTTTAAATCTGAGAAATAATCATCTTAAAGTTCTGACTCATTTTCACTTTACACTAATGAATTTTTAGAATCTCTTGAAGGTGGATATTCTTCAGAATGTACACTTTTCTTCCACCAAAGTGAAAACAGTTAAAAAAAATTGTGTCACTGTTAGTGCAGCTCAGAGAAATAGGTACTTTCATTCATTGTTGGTGGAAATGTAATTTGGGACATACTTTTTGAAGTCAGTTTGGAGACACACACATACATACTCATGTGCATGCACATTTTATATATACATATATAACATATATATGTATATGTGTGCATACATTCATACATATGTAGCTTGGACCATCTTCCTAAAGAAATATTAGAAAATGTTATACATTATTATAGAAATGTCCATTACATTTTTATAAGTATTTATAGGTATAAAAAAAAAAGTAGGAGTGTTATAGTGTAGTAAGAAGCTAGGAAAATTCCAGGACAAATGGAACAGGAAATCTAAAACAGATAGTTAAATAGCAGTTTGCAGCTACCCAGTAAATCCTATCTTCCCTAAACCAAGAGCACTTAAGAGTGAACAGTTTGTACTTCTCCTCCCCAAACAGAGGGCAAATAAATAGCTTAAATCACCTTACTCAGGGAGACAGATAACAAAAATCCAATTAGTGCCATTTGCCAACCACACCCAAGGACAAATTAAGAGAATAAATCTCATTTTGTTATATCAGCATAAAGTCCATGAATATTCTATTGATTGTCCCCTAAGACTTCCCCTAAACACCCAGCCTCTAAAACGCCTGAAAATTGTAGGGTTGTAGGGTTCTGGCCCTCCAGGGAGCACACCCATGCCATTCCTTTCCCCCTCTTCTTCCCCACAGGCACATATCCCCTAATCTCTAAGGAACCCCATGAGACTTGGAACCAGGGGAGCAATGGGGCAGCGGGCTAACCCCCTGAACCTGTCTCCAAGGCCCCCTTTTCTCTGACTTCCCAGTGACCAAAGCAGCCCAGCCTGGGCTCTCCTGTTGCTTCTTCTATGTCCTTCCTTGTTTCACTGTCCTAAGTGTGCTTTTGCTGCGGTCAATAAATTCTTGCTTGCTTTTCTACACTTTGTCTCTTGATTGAAATCCTTCCTTCAAGAAGACAAGAACCAAGGTCTCAGCATCTCGCTGAGAACAGGAACAACTTAAATGCCCAAGTTTAATGGAAAAGTTGAATAAATGACACTATATTCATATAATGAACTATCATGTATCCATTAAATCATTTATGGAAGAATAACAAATGACGTGTTAAAGTGTTGATATATCCTAAGAGTATGTCATGAAATGCTATGTATAATGCATATGTATAATGTCATGCTTATCTGTGTCCAGAAAAAAAATGATAGAAGAATGTTTGCCTAAATATTAATGACTATATTTGAGTGATGGACTTATAAATGGATTTTTTTCCTATAATGTTCTCTGCCTTCCAAGTTTTCTGCAGCAAATGTGTACTATTTATGAAATAAATAAACAAAATAAATGTTATAAGTTTCTGGATATATTCATACCCTTTATATCCTAACATAAGGAAATAAACAGATAGACACTTAAAGTCTTTTCTGACTTGTTTATACTAATAAAATACTGGAAGCAACTCAAATGTCCATTAGGGAATTGATTTCAAAAAATAACAGTGCATTCATGCAGTGAAATATTGTACAATTTAAAAAATGAGACTCTTAAAAGTATTTAAGAATGGGTGGGAAATGCTTATAATATGTTAAGTTAAAAAGATATAAATATGTAAACATAATGTTATTACAATTTTGAACACCTAGAAAAATATTAGAATTACATTAACATGTGATTGGGGTTGCCACTGGATGGTGAAAGTATTCATAGGTTCTTTTGATTTTCATTTTAAATAATTTTCTATGCTTTCAACATTTGTAATTTTTATAAACAGAAAAATGTAAATAAAGAAGTTTGTTTGGCTACTAGTGATATTAAGATACACACACCATCTATAGCAGCATGATCCCTTCAAATATTTTTTTCAAACTAGCATCTCCACCCAGTGGATTAGTGTACCACACAGTAAGATGGGGATATTTAAATATTCTATTTTAGTACTTTGGTCTCTCTGACAAACAGAAAGAATTTTGACCAAAAGGTTTGCTTTGCTCTATAGGATACTTAGAACAACAGAAGAAAGGGATGTGCCATGAACTGGCCCCAGATTCACATTTCTGAGCTGTGATACTAAGGTTTCTTAATCATTTACCTGTTCAGAATCTAAGTAAGCAAAGGCCAAAGCAGCTTCAAGTTCAGTGACATCTCAGGTGTAGCCTTCCACCCTGATACAGGGGCCGCACCCACAGTGTGAAGGTTTTTTAAGATCATCGAGTTTATGCCTTTAACACAACTCTAGTAACAGCCTCTGATTGATGTTCAAGGGAAGTAACATCTTCACTGGACTCGGGAAATGAAATTGCGTCTACACACACACACTTGGAAGACTGTGGGGAGGAAAATGTTTTTATGTCCTTTATATATCTTTTAATGTCCTTAATATATCTTTTATGTTGCAAAAGTCTTAGCATTACCATGCATATTATAGCATTGTGGGCAATAAGTCCAAAGATTTATCTCTGCGCTGCCACTGACGTGTGGACTCGGTATTTATTGAAAGCTTACCTGTAAACGTTTCTGGCTAAATGAGATAAAAGGACACAGCCCTGCCTTCATTCCTGGATAGATCCACAAAGACAATTCGAATTTTTACACACTCTTTCAATGTCTTTTCTCCGGCAAAACAGTCAAAATTACAATTGGCATGTACTGACTTCCGCTTAAATGTAGTGTAATAGCATTTTAAAGGTTCAGCTTAAAATCACTGCCTTAGAGCCCAAGAATACCACCTTGTGAAATTTACCCAATACATGCATTTTAAAAATCTGAGTTAGTTTATATAAAATATTAAGGATGGGGTTCAGAACATTAGGAGTTTTCCAATGGAACAAAAGGCTTACACTGATGATAGGTGATAAATAGATGATAGATGATAGATAGATAGATAGATAGATAGATAGATAGATAGATAGATAGATGATAGATAGATAGATAGATAATAGATAGATAGATGATAGATAGATAGATAGATAGATAGATAGATAGATAGATAGATAGATAGATAGATAGATGATAGATATGTATATATTTTTTACACTCTGTGCAGCTCACTCAACACTTTCAAGCTTTCTGATGGGCATGAACATAAAACGGCGAGAATTTTTGCTTCCCAGAGCAACAACAGGCAGCACTGACACCAAGCAGGGATACAGAGCAGGCCAGCAAAAATAATTACAAGGTGGAAAGTGAAGAAGAAAGAAAAAGAAACGGCAAGCAAGCGTGTGAGTTGAGGGCAAACGGAGCAAAAATAAAACTAAAACATCAGCATTTACTTGACTTGGCCTTTCTCCACGTAGGTGGTCCTGTAGAAGCCCACGAGCGAGCCGTTGAGGCGGCCGGCGAAGTCCAGGCTCAGGCGGTAGAGCCCCGCGGCGCCGCCGGGCGGCAGCTCCTCCGCCGCCTCCAGCACCACGAACTCGCGCGGGCGGTACTGGAAGCAGCGGCGCACGCCCACCGGCGCCCC